TTTTTGCTTATGTGGTGCTGAGGAATCGAACCCAGGGCCTCATGCATGCAAGGCAAGCGCTCTACCACTGAGCCAACTTCCCAGCCCTGCTCCTTCCTTCTTTCGTCTTTCTTCTTCTGTTGTGAGTCATCAGGCTTAAACTCAGGGCCTGGGAACTCTCCCAGAGCTCTTTTTGCTCAAGACTAGCATTCTAGCACTTTGAGCCATAGCTCTATTTCTGGTTTTTGAGTGGTTGATTGGAGATAAGAGTCTCATGGGACTTCAAATCACAATCCTTAGTTCTGGGTCTCCTGAGTAGCTAGGATTCTAGTACTGAACCACTGGTACCTAAGTCCTTTGAATTCTTGAGTCTTTCCTAACTGGACACTAAGGTGTAGGAAAATACTTGAGAGAATACATCATTAAGAAAGATCATGCAGTACCCACTTAATTTCTATAAAGCTTTTTACCCCAACCCCAAGCCTAGGACCAAAGCATTAGGCAGGAGCTAGCTAAGCCAGACTACTTTTTTTTTTTTTTTTTGTCAGTCGTGGGGCCTGAACTCTGGGCCTGGGCGCTCCCTGAGCTGTTCAGCTCAAGGCAAGTGCTCTACCACTTGAGCCACAGCTCCACTTCTAGTTTTCTAGTGGTTTATTGGAAATAAGTGTCTCACAGACTTTCCTGCCCAGGCTGGCTTTGAACCATGATCCTCAGATCTCTGCCTACTGAGTAGTTCAGATTACAGGCATGAGCCACCGGCACCCAGCTAACTGACTATTTTTATAAATTAGGACAAAGACATGCCAAGTGGTCTTCTAAGCCCTTTTCCTTGTAAGGTCTGCATTACTCATTCAATAATGACAAATAACAAGTCTAAGTAGCATCCAACAATGAGATCCAGTAAGAATGTAAGAATTCTGGCCTATGTCCTCTGTCCTGTTTTCCTTATACAATGACCTTATACAATGGTACAACAGACTTAGAACATGAGCTTTAGCATCACCAGCCAAGTGAAAGATCAAGAAAAGACAAAGATAACTGAAAACCAAGCCATTGATAAATTACATACTTAATTCTTTCTAGTATTAAACAATAAAAATGTGGGCAAGAATTATCCCTGTGGAGATTGTGAAATACTTCCCTGATATTATACTGCCTACCAAATAGAAGGAATAATAAAACACAGAGAGAGAATTGACATTCTTGTTTATGACAAAGTTAAGATGACAGATCCCACAGCAAAACTTCAAGCTTCTTTTAAGCAATACTGACTTTTGATGTTGTCCTGAGTAGGCAATGATATATGAGCTGTTTCCTCCAGTGTTGCTGTGTATATCAATTAACTTAGAAAATACTTTTGAGTCTATTTGGATAGAAGGTCTATGTTACTGTTGAGATAAAGTAGTATTACTGTGGTATTACCATCTCTGATGATGGTGAGAAACGGAGTTAGAAAAGTGGTAAGAAAAACTATTTTCCCATTTTAATTAGTTGCTGATTTTGATAAAATCCTATTAAAGATCTCTTTCAGTTTAAATCCAAGATTTTAGGAGGCAAAGTAATTTGTAAGGAGGATTAGAATGACTAATGAAAATTTAATATAATGATTTGAGGTTTTAACACATATCCACTTGTTAATAAGGGGAATCAGGATGAATACTCATAAGATTTATTGTCTGATTTCATAGTTTAGTATGTAATTTATATATGGCATACTGAATTCTGGATTTGCACAAGGTCATCTGTTGAGTGTTGATGGAAATAATAGGAGAGCAAAAGGAAATTCCCTCTGCAAGTTTGTACACTAGTAACTTTTTTTTAGTTCATGTCAATAAATATTATTTTATATGATCAGAGGCACAGAAACAGAGTAGTAAGAGATTCTTTAGAAAACATGACATAAGAAAACACATTACTGAGCATAGAGCTCAGAAGAATTGAAGCATAGGTGGAAAGGGGCATTCTCCAAAGGGACCAGGGGATGTTTCAGAAGGAAAGAACCTTGTGCCACACTTAGAAGTTGGAAAATAATTTCCCTAATTAGACAATGAAGGAAGTAGATTCCAGGCTGAGCTAAGAGCTTGAGCTGCATCTTTAAGCCTAAAAGATGGCTTGTATGACTTAAGGCCTTGGACTCAAGTATGGCTTGTAAAACATGGAGCTCAGATTTTACTGTGGGAGATGTGGCCTCAATGGTCATTTGAGGTTTAATGTTGGGAGTATACATTTATTCCCTAACCAGT